AAAATATGGTAGACGAAATTGTACTTATAAATGTACTGTTATTCTTTGCTATTTTATTCTTATAAATTGTCTTTGTATATTCAGTGTAAAGCTGGAGTAAATACGAGCAACAAAATTGCTGCAACTTGCAACAAAATCTGATTTCAACACATGTACGAGGCAACATGTGTCAACATTTCTATGATTTGGATTAAGTTATGTGTCAACATTTCCACTTAACATCCGTTGAAATCAGATTTTGTTGCAAATTGCAGCAATTTTGTTGTCTGTATTACTCCACCTTAATACCTCTGTGTAACATTATTCTGCAGTGTAACATTATTCATGTATGATTATTCATATGTCATCTGCGCCCCAATTTCCATTTTAGTAAATGACATACTTTTTCGTAGTTTCCTAGCAGAAAGATCAGGCTGACTCTGTCAGAGAAGTCACCAGTGAAAAAAACATAAATGGACCTTTGAGGAAAACAAAGCTTTGATCAAGTTGATATCTATTGCCAAAAAAAGATCCATGGATCTGGAGAAATTTTGTCCATAATAAAATAAAATAACAACAATTTACATTAGCCTAGTAATCCATGTCACTGTTATTGTAGGGATCCGTAATAAAATAAATACCGTAAACCTCCAACTATAAGCGCCCCCCCGTGCATAAGCCCACCACATCTACTAACGCTCACCTCATTCCAAATCTAAGCCCCCCCCCCCGAATATAAGCCCACTAGCTTGTTTATCACTGTTATTTATCACTATTACCACTATTAATCACAATTTTTGCTGTGCTTGTTTAACACTAAGTCTTGTTTATCACTATTACACTAACACAAAAGGTCGTCCATGTATAAGATCCCCCCCGTATATAAGCCCACCCTTGTATAAGCCCATCAAAAATCGCTTACGAAAGTATATAAGCCCAGGGCTTATAGTCGGTGGTTTATGGTATGTAGGGATCCATAATAAAATAACAACAATTTACAATATACTTCTTGTGTGTGTTGGTGTTATTTACTCGGGTGAATACGTTTGTGATGTTACTCAGAGTATGCATCCACACCGAGCTGAGCTCAGTTGGTAGAGCATTGGACTAATATCCCAAAAATTGCAGGTTCGATTCCCACCATGGTCAGGCAAACTTTTGAGCTTGCTCGGTGTGGATGCACACTCAGAATAACATCACAAACATCAATTTACAATATTCTAGTAATCTAGTCACTGTTATAATTGTTTCTTGGATCATCTTTGTCCCTATGTCCCATGGTCCACTTTTTGCAATCAGCAATGCTGCACTGTAGATTAATACCCACCAAGCACATAGAATTTATTGGTTGTAGATCACAGTTATATCCAGTTTGCCCTTGTAAATTTAGTAGTGACAGCACACTGTCCAAATCTTCATCAACAGTATCTGGACCTCGAGGTTGAATTGTTTGAGAAGGTGGCAATGGCAGAATATCGAAATCCCACAAAATAACATTCCCAAAGTAAAAGATTGCCCTGTTCCATCTCGTCTTAGATCACTAAGGTCAGAGAACTGCAATATATAAAAAACAATCTTCTGTTTAACCCTTTAAGTGCCAGCGTTAGACAAAGCAAAATATTAAAGTTGGGTGCATGAGGGCACAATGTGACTCAATGGGTTAACTAGGCACATGGGCAGATAGGCCAGCTGCCATTAGACAGAGTAAAATAATCTGGCGTTAGACAGAGTAAAATAATAAAGTAGGGTGCATCAAGGCGCAATTAATGCCACTCGATGCAATTCAATGGGTTAATTACTTTAATTAACAGTCCGTATAAAATACCAAAGTAATCAAACCTCTATGATCAAACCAAATGAACAGTCTTGGCTTCTCTAACTTAAACTATTTTTTAGCTCTATATATGCATATATTCAAAATAGAAAGCACAAATATTGTTACCAACATTGGCTATAAAAATGTGAATCATAGAAAAAGCAAAAACCATTGCGTATATACATTGCCTTTGTATTGGCTTTAAGGATTAAAACAAACGACTTACCCTAAAAACACAACTGGAATGTATCTCTATACTCTATCAATGCTGGGCTATTGCAATCGGCGAAGATTTCATCAACTTTTAGAGACAAATATAGCGATTCTTCTGATGTGAATCTCACGACATTGAAACTGAACGTACGATAACCCATGGGAACCAACAGCATAGGCTCTCACGATACACAATGAACCAAAAGAAGACCGTGTCCTGCCAAAACTGAAGCTTTATGGCGGTGAATCGGCTTTACAAAATCCGCCATATTTATCACTCTTGTTGTTTTGACAGTGAAGGTCAAGCGAACAATAAGCGCCCGCTCGTGGAAAATCAATAATATATAATTCATTGGAATAATCGCAATGCATCACGGTATAGTGACCACTCCTCCTCTGGGTTATGCACAAGTGACATGTTTCAATTTCCGTCTGTTGACATGTGGGACGTGATTCAATGCAAGCGTTCCTGGCATGGAACCACCTCCCACACGCCGCACAAACAATACCGCTTTTATCAATGACAATATCACAAAGACATGTTGAGCATAATTTTTTCTCTATGTTTATAGAAGCCATATTAAAGTAGAATAGATATAAAATGTTAATATTTTTAACGCAATACCTTTTAACTGTTATCGGGAATAAACTCCACATTTTTGAGAAAAAGTTTGTCACGCACTAAACGTACTCTTCGTTTTTCCGCTTTCGCTCTTCTCATCTCGGGGTATAATTTCTGCCGCACTTTCGCTATTTCTTCTGCAAACTGTTGATCCCAAAATTAAATTTTAAAAAGTTATTTTCTATCTTAACACGAGACACGGTATATATTTTTGAAATCATTAGAAGATTTTCTTTCGAAATATAAGTATAAACGAATTAGTCTCTGCAACAACAATCGGATGAGCTTACATAAGAACGATTTGTAATCTTTTTGTTTTGTTGTAAACAATTCAATTTTAGTCAAGCGGCTGCCAAATTGACTCCTAACTGCTTAATTTCTGATCGTATAAATTTGATTCAAACATTTTCCAATACCTTATTTCTCGAGGATTAAAAATATATAAAATTGACCTTGTCTTGGAGCGGCAAGTACTAGGAAATGTTGAAAAACACATCAATTTCGCGCATTGAAATTAAGTGGTTTTATTTTATTTACACTGCAAAATGTGAGATGTAAAATTTTAGCCGAGGTTGCTTTGCATTTAAAATATTCAACATATGTTGTGTTCATGAAAGATCGATCAATATCGCACAAAAATATATGGAAATTTATTCATGTTTTCTTACCGTATTTATATCACAGGAAGACATCACTCATCGCTCCTTGACAATTTTCCGACGTTTTCATATTATACAATTTTCCGACGTTTTCATATATTACGTGTGCGAAGAAAAGATTTGAAGTACAGTTTATCGATATTTTGCGCAGAAAAAGTTGTGTTGCTGCCCAATTTAACATATATGTGCACGAAGAATGGGTATACGACTTCATCTATATATCCTGGCAATTTCTTTGTTTCATCTACTGTGTACTCAAAGAGTTAACTGCTACAATTCAGGTATGTTTCTTGCATTTTGAAGGTACTTGGACTGAAAATACTCTCCTCCTCAGAGCCATATAGTTAAACACAATGGGTAAACGCAAAGACTAGCTATGGTCACAATAGACAATGTATGGTCAAAAGTGTATAAAGTGTATATAGAAACACAGAGTAAACTTGTAGATAATGCCGCATTTGCTCGTAAATATGAGCAAATGCGGCATTATCTCAAGTTTACTGTGTGTTTCCTATAGTGGTAAATCCAATTTTTCGTGCAGTGGTGAGTGTTTGAGTGAATGTCAAAGAATATATAGTGTATATTGTGTATATAGTGTAAATATATACTCAATATAAGTATATTATCAGTCTATAATCAAAAGTGTATAAAGTGTGTGTTTGAGTGGATGTCGAAGAGTATACAGACGATTAGACTAGAAGAGTATATTATATTATAGTGTATATTGTGAAAATAGTGTAGTCAAAAGTGCATATAATGATAATATGTGTCAATGTATGAAGTGGGATTTTCTAAGAATGAGGAAAAATATTGGCCTTTATGACTTTAGTTATGTAGGCTATCATGCATATGACTAAGAATGTGTCACTGAATGTATAAAGCGGGATTTTTTTAAGAACGAGGAAACTGTCGTCTGAGGAAACATATATGCCTTGATGACTATCATATGAGTATGACTATGTGTCACTGATTGTATATAAAGCGGATGATTTTAAGAACGAGAAAACATGCCTTTATGACTTCTACTTATAAATATAACCATAGCCATAGGCTATAAGACCAGTTTGAGTGAAAAATGTGTAATAGAATATTTGATTACAAAACAACGTTTCATATCTGCATGCATTAGTATTTACAAATTACAATTACAATAGCGGTATTTAATTATCACTAAGATACCACTATCTGTTAAAATATATATACAGTGTGTATAAAAAATGGCTAGTCTTTGAAATTCAAATTAGTCATAATTACAGTGATCTCATTGACAATGTTCTAAACTGCGTAGAGTTAATGATACGTGACCAAAACGAGTGTTATTTACAAAAGAGATCGATTAACTTTATTTTAATTGCAGGGTAGTAGGGTAGTAACTTTATTTTAATTGCAGGGTATATATATATATATATATATATATATATATATATATATATATATATATATATATATATATATATATATATATATATATATATATATATATAACTACAGACGGTACCGTTTCGGCCTTATGGGCCTCATCAGTGTAGTGCTGATGATCAGGATGAAAGTAACTGCTATTTACAGTTACCTTTGATGCCTCACGATTGTGGGACATCAAAACCATGCCAGAGCGCTCAAACTGCAAGCAGTGAGCGTGCGCAATGCGTAAGCGGCATGGCTCATCCTGTAAAGCGCTCAATATGACCTAAAGGCCATAGAGCGTAATCTAACTACAGACGGTACCGTTTCGGCCTTATGGGCCTCATCAGTGTAGTGCTGATGAGCAGGATGAAAGTAACTGCTATTTACAGTTACCTTTGATGCCTCACGATTGTGGGACATCAAAACCATGCCAGAGCGCTCAAACTGCAAGCAGTGAGCGTGCGCAATACGTAAGCGGCATGGCTCATCCTGTAGAGCGCTCAATATGACCTAAA